CTGTTGGTAAAACCATTGATCAAACTCTGAGCAACGATTTGTCTGAATTGCAAGCTGGTCAAAAGACAACCTTCCACTTTATTTATATTATGAAGCTTCGTGTAAATAATGTACGAGTTACGGACGGATATCAAAGAAGTCAAAGAACAGCCGAAGATAATATTTGATTTTCGATCTCCGATCTATTTCATAGCAGACCTTACGTTGATCCATGAGATCAACTCCTCCCATGTTTTTATTGTAATGTGGTACAATGTTGGGGCATTTCACATCACTTTTCTCCGCAGACCCAACTTGACGACGTTTTACGAAATTAGCTCCTCCTGGCGATAGGCAATTTGTTATCAAATGCACTGTTCTGTTGTCCATCCATTTGATATAACTTATGCTCTGGAAGCTAGTGGCATAAATATCGCTTCGCTTCATTTTTTTGTCTACAGGTGCAGTTTTCTTTTGGAACATACTTCGTAATACGACTGTGTGAGAAAGCAACAGGAAGCAACAGAAACGTAACCTGGATGATTGGTTTACATCAGTGCCATTGGCTTCGGCCTTACTACGTGATCCCTACATATTAATTATTGTTGGCACAATACGTGCCAACAAGAGAGAAAATTTAACAGTCATTAGAAAGGAGAGTGGGCATTTCACTTGTTTTGATTCCGCAATGGCATTGGTGTCGTTCAAATCAAAAGTTGAAGAAAATGGTTTATCTTTAATCTACAGCTCATGATCAACCCAGTAACGAAAAACAAGCCAGAAATCATTCATTATTATAAAAGCACCAAAGGAGCCGTCGATAAAATTTGTGAAATCGGCTTTCGTCAGAGAATAAATACGACCCCATTCATCGGACCAATCTTGGTGCTGACGAGCGAACGCGGGAGCGGACTGCTCCTGCCTGGGTGAGTTGGGAGGGAATGCTGACACTCCCTCCTAACTCACCCATTAGAGTCTGAACTCTTACTGACTAAAAACCACCCCGTTCCTAACGCTACTCCGAACGCTAATCTTGCAATTCGACGACTTACTCGAAGTTTAGGCGCTTTTGCTGGCACGTACGACTTTAAACCAACTTCGTTTAACCTTCTTCTTAGTGTTCGTTCACTAACACGCATGTTACGCACTTCTTCTTAAAGGTTTCGGGTTTGCACAGCTGTTTGACGACGGTTCCTCAATGTTTGCACCCTTATGAAACGATCATTTACAGCACTGGTTGACGCTTTCTGCCTTGTCCACCTCCGTACGTAAGATCCCGTCTGTCCGTATCGTTTGATACAACGTTGGATCACAGATACTGATACACCCCACGTTCGACTCGCTAAACGGTATGTATGACTTGAATTGCTGGTAAATCACTCATTTCGTATGCAATACAATGTTAACTCTTCAAATAATAACAACGCATATAAGCTAGTACTAAATAAAGATGATCCGTACGCCATAACATACCTATTTTTTTTTAAATTAATTTGGCGCCAAGTGTTCCCCTAATTAAAGGGGGGGATATTTTGCGCTACTTTATAAAATCGATTGACTGCACGGTTAGTGCGGTGGCTGGGCAACCGGCTGCCGTGCAACGTGTCGCGGGTTCGATTCCCGCACGGGATAACACTTTGTGTGATCCACAAATTGTTGTTTCGGGTCTGGGTGTCATTGTGTATGTGAACTTGTATGTTTGTAAACGCACCCACGACACAGGAGAAAATCCTAGTGCGGGCCAAGGTTTTAAAAAAAAAAAAACAGTCTTAACTCTTATAAAATAATACTGGCGCAATCATACCCCGCATCGTTTAAGGCGCGAATGTTTACTCAATACCGTCAAGCTCTTTAACGCTGAAAAAACCTCGCCGAGATATAATTTTTGGAGGGTCAATACTCCCAAAGACATTTTCCCACTTATAGAAGTTAATGTCTTTTTTTTGTGGCCATTTCCAGGACTTTAAAGACTTAGCAATTGCATCGACAGTAGCGCCTTTCTCATCGAAGTCAATGATGAGACCAGGGTACAGTCTCTCATCATATTTTACCACCACAAATGACTCTTTCTCACGTTTCACATCTTTGAATCTCGTTTCTGGTCGAGGTGGATGATCACTCTCCTCTGGGCTGTTGGGCTCTAAAAAGCAACCATCAGGATCATCTGAATCATCGTGTAATGAGTACGCGTCCGAATCGTAACCAGTGCATGGCCTTGAGCATGAGGCAATGTTGTCCTCTGTGCCGTCAAAAACTTCTTCGTTCTCAGTCTCTTCTAACAGCGATACTTCATGAGCAATGCTTTTTTTACCAGCAGCAATTTCAAATTTCTTCTTACGTCTCTTTGGCCCAGACTCTGTGATTGTCTTCCGCTTTGATTCCAGGTGATCTATAAAAGATGCCGATACTATTTCATCTACGTTACAGGAGTAGATACCGCATTTGCGGAAACCGTTTTTCAAGTTACTTCTCACATTTGGCTCGATGTTTTCTAAGAGTTTCTTTAGCAAACTCGGAAAAGTTTGTTTCGGTATCGTTGGGTTTCTGGTTCCTTCCGAACTTTCCTTCCATTCAGTTAAAATTTTTCGCCACTCTGCTTTTAATGGACGAAAGAATGCGACATCGAGCGGCTGAGTTATGTGAGTGCTATTCGGCGGCAGGCACACAAAAGCAATGTCGTTATCTCGACAGAGTCTGAGTGTTTCAAGCGATAAATGGGAAGCCAAGTTATCCCCAATCAACATCTTTTTGCCCCGCCTGCCATTTTTACGTGTAAAAATTACATTGTTTCGGCAGGTGCCATAGTCATCCATAGTTCCCAATTTACCAGTCCACAGCAACGCATCCATAGCCCTACCTTTTTTTCCATTATTCACAATAGTCCTACACTAACCGGGGACTGTCCTTGGGTGCATTTCCATAGTGCATACAGGGATAGTCGCCAGTTTATGTCTCCATTACATTTAGATTAAAGTTGTCTAAAGGGCCTCTGCGCAGTTGGCTTCGGCCCCTCGTACAGGCTCCCAAATGACCGGGACCCTGTGGTCTCGTGAATGGTAAAGATAATAATAATAATATATTCTTTATTGTACGCCACATAAACACAAAGGACAATAAACAATTAATATATTGCACAATGGGTGGTCTTATCGCACAAGGCGATCTCTTCCAGACAACCTTAGGATGGAGCTGTAATAGGAGTTAGATATGGGTCGTCTAGTGTACAATTTAATGACTTTAAAATAATAATAATAATAATGCCGTGTAAACCATAATATGTAAAGAATCATAAGATTTTTTAGCCAATCTGAAAATAGCTGGTGATCAAACCAACCTGAAGGGGAGTTGCTTAAGAGTTGCTGAAGACTCAGCAGCTTCTTGATCGTTTTGGTCGCTATTGACTACTGAGTCTTTCTTTAAATTTTCTTCAATTTCAGAAGCAGAATTAGACGTAGTTCCTGAAATATGTTCCAGCCCACAAACATCATTTAGAGATAATTGCGATTAAAGTTCAATCTTGTATTTCTTTATGATATCATTATTTTTTTACTACTTTTGTATGCTACGGATGACATAATCGAGTTTTAATTTGACCCTATTTTAGACTTCCAATATACTTTTTTGAATATTCACAAAAATATTACTGTGGAACGTTTTTGATTCATTGCAATTTTCGTGTTACATTTCAAAATTGTATTTATGAACACGTCCCAAACGACATGTTTGACAAGAAAATATGAATAAAACCAGATAAAAATACGAATAAAGTTTTATTTAATCTGAGAAATAACTAGACTAAACTAGTTCTTCTTCATCGTCTTCAAAATCAAAGTTTTGTCTACCAGAAAATCCTTCAACATAATCGGGTCCTTCCATGCCCTGCAGGTTTTTGTAAATGGACAGGTGCAATCCTCAGGAATAAGACTGGACATTGACTTTCTGTCATTTTATTTAGCCTGGGTTATAGATTTTTCGTCTGGCCAGAGTGGTATAAGGCGTTCTGAGCTTAAAGGCAGCATGCTTACTTTAAATTTTGGCCCTATGTACAACTCTTGATATTCCTCAATATCATCTAACCTCATGAAGACAGAGTGTATATTATCCTTTCTTAATTGAATATGTTTGGTCCTTAGCCCATAAACTTTAAAGGTGGGTACTGACCAACGTTACAAGGTGTAATGTAACATTCTCATTAATCTCCTTCTCTTTGTTTTGCAACAAGTATGCAATGTATCTCTGAGTTTGTTTATTTTCTTTTATTTTTCATATCTGCTACATCGAGGGGTTTGTCCTTCTGCGAATTTATGATGGATATCTGTAATCTGTAACTGGTCCGAGGTGGGAGCCTGGAGATCCGTCACACAGGGAATCCTAGTATGGACTCCAGTCTCTTACAAAGGAGTACATTGTTTGCATCTGATTATTGTATCTTATTTCTGTAAATTATCCTTTGTGCAGAGAGATAATAAATAAATTTATTATTATTATTTACATATATTTTAAATTCCCTATAAATTACATTTTTAAATACTACTTATAAAAAAATTAAAAAATAATATTTAAAAATAAAAGAAATAGGAGCCGACCAGTAGCGGGAGCATGGTCCAAGCTACCGGTGGTTAGGGCTCCAGAGACAGAAACCTCCTCACAATGCGCGCCGTTTCAAGGAGAACTGCCTTCTGTATCAGGCCCTTGACCCAACTGCCTAACGCTAGCCTCCTAAGGTGGTTGTCGAGGCTATTAGGGATTAACCCATTGGCCGACACGACTATCGGCACAATGATAGCCGAATCTACATTCCACATGTCGACAACCTCGTGAGCCAAATCAAGATATTTGATTTGTTTATCTTTTTCAGCTTTCACGAGGTTCTCATCATGAGGAATAGTGATATCGATTATCATCGTGCGGCGTACTTGTCGGTCTATCACCACTATATCAGGTTTATTGGCTATAATAGTCCTGTCAGTGATGATAGACCGGTCCCAGTACAATGTGATATGGTCTTTTAAGTAAGCTTGTCCAAAAAGTTTTGCCACATGATATGGTGTAACCACGCGACCAGGGTGATCTCTCAGCCATTTTTCACTTCTGCACTGTACCCGTAGTACGTGCTTAAAGGTCTCATGAATGACACGTCTAAAGGGTACATTTTGTGAGTGCAGTGTGGTGGTGTACATAATAAAATCACATTATTTTCTCTTGCATAATCTATTAGGTCAATATTTTTGGTATGTGAAGAGTGACCGTCTAACAGAAGCAATACCGGCTTTTCTTTTGTTGGTTGTGCAAACTGCACAAATGATTTAAACCAATCAAAAAATATTTTGGTTGTAATCCAGCCATTGTCACTGCAAGTGCCCCAAAACCGTGACGGAGCATCATCCAAAAGTTCTTCTTTCATCCGCTTCCGAGCGTATTTTAGCATTGGCGGGACATAGGTGCCAACGGCATTGAAACAAATTTCAGCAGTGACCAACTGGCCTCTCCCTGCTGATGAGAGGCAGCCCACTTGCTTCTGGCCCTTCATTGACAATATCCTAGATTGACTTTTTGGAACAGTACTGATCCCCGTTTCGTCTACATTGTAGATCCTTTCAGGCGTCAGTTTATGTTTATCTACTACATTTTCTAACAATGTAAAAAAATTGTCGACTGCCACTCTGTTAAAACCCATCGCTCTTGCAGCTGATGTTGGTTCTGGGCGTCTGTATGCTAGATTAGGGTGTCGTTTTAAAAACCCGCTGAGCCAATCTTCTCCTGCCATACCAGTTTCTATATTAAATGGGTTATCTATGTGATTCCGCTGAGCCAACTGATAAGCTATAATACGAGGCTCTTTTCCTGTTAAACCAAAAAGCCGTGCTTCCATAGATTTCACATACTCCGTAAAAATTGTTCCTTTGAAATGTAATCTTTTGTTTTTAAATCTTTCAATATTACTGCAACTTTGGCTATCCGTTTCTTTAACCTTTTATTACATTGTGTAAGGGTTTTGTTTTGTTTTTGCAACTGTTTTTTTTTTTTAATGTTAACAAACGCACACGTTTTCTAAGTGCTGACTTTCTTAGTGATTCTAATATTTCTTCTAGCTCCGGCAAACTGACATTGTCTAGACTCGACGGAGAATTCTGAACATTTTCAATGGTTTGTCCCTGAAAAAAAAAATATTATTAGGTATGGCATGATCAATCACGAATTATGTACCTATTGCAGCTTAGTCGTTTGTAATCACATTAGGCAATTTCATTATTAAATAGGATAAGAGGAATAGCGAATATATCACTAAAAATATTTATTTAAGTAGTTTTAATAAGTCATCATAATAATATAAAGGTTGTAAGTTTGGTTATGGTTGCGATTTGTCTAAATATAAACTCGAACTAGGAGGAATTCGCGGGCGGAAATCAAAAATCAAAAAATGATCACGAATAAAAAATAAATACATGCATATATGCATACAGGTAAATTTACCTCTATAAATGGAACAGCATTTTTATTTAGTAGTATTCGTCCTTTTTTCGAAATATATTTGTAAGCAGTTTTGAAGTGATTGCTGCAGATTCTGCTACTTTTTGATGGTACCCAGTCTGATTCGCTTCTTTGTTCACGAACAATTGCTATCCAATCTTGAAGTCTGACCTGGTCACACGGAAACCTATTCAATAAATAAAATAAAAACAATAGTAATTAATCACAATAAAAACTAGTATTATTATTATTGTATAATAAATTAATACTTACTTTTTAAATATTTATTACATTAATAAAAAGGATATAAAAACGAAGTAAAAATAAAGAAGTGAAGTTTAATGTACGCATTTACATCGCCATCAATATTCGCATCTGCACTAACTAATCTATGTCCGCTGTACACGCATCCTTATCGCTCTCGCGTCAAATCTAAATATCTCTTTCTCTCTCTATCAGAATATGGCGTCCATGCGTCAATTATTATGTTATTTGGAAAAATAATTTAAATAACACTAAATCTAAGTATCTTTGCATACTCACATGTGACATGATATTCCTTGTGTTTTGTTTACTTTAGCGTCGTAATTGGTACACTTCCGAAACACACACGATGGCATTTTTAATTTGTTTTAGCAAGAACACAATAACCTACGGCGTGTCACGCTCGTGATTGCGCTCGACGCAGACTAACTACTAAACGTCCTAATTGGGTGGTATTTGAGTCTTTACAACGCGCGCGCTTGTAACAAATCTACACTATAAAAAATCATTGATGTACACACATTCATTATAATTCATACACCACCGCGAATCCGGCAAAAAGCACGGTCCAATATCCGGTGAAAAAAAACGGACATCTACAAGCGCTCTAAGGCATTACAAACACCTAATACGATAAGATAATGTATTTTCACTTGAATACAAATTTAATTTTACAATATAAAAAATAATCTGAATTCTAATCCAAAAATATAGATTCAAAACACAACAAACTTAACAAATTTTAATCAAAATTAATATTAAGTTTTTACATAGTACTAACAAACAATTGTAATTTCTTAACACCAATTTTATTCCTAAGATACTGAGATTTATCACTAGGCAGAGCCTTGGTAAAGATATCAGCATATTGTCCCTCAGTACAAACATATTTTAAATGTATTCATTTTTCACTATACATTTCTTTAATGAAATTGTACGTACTTAACATCAATTTGCTTACAACGTATGTGATAGTTCACATTTTTAACTAAACAGATCGCATTTTGATTGTGAATCCTGGTTAAATTCACCAATATCTAGTAACATTATTTTTAACCATAAGGCTTCTTTTGTCGCAGAACAAGCAGACATAAGATTCGCTTCTATTGTGGATAAAGCAACATCAACAAGCAACTGTGCTGAAGTTGTATTGCTCATATTACGGAGGCTCCATTTTTAATAAACACATACCCAGTTAATGATTTTCTAGTGGTAGTGTCTTTAACATAATCTAATCTGCATCACTGTAAGTTTCAATTTTATTTTGCTGAGGTGATGAATAACATAGTCTTTGGTTTCCTTTAAATATTATATTATCTTCTTCACGACATTCCAATGTGTTTGATCAAAACAATTGAGATATCGACTCACTAAATTAACTCCATGCATGATATCAGGCAGGCCCATGAATCTCTCCTACAAAATTGGTTTCAAAAAATTACGCACAAAGTGGTGCCATCTTCTGGGTATCTAGAAGAAACTTTGAGTCAAGTTCAGTATCTATTGTACAGGCAACAAACATTGTGATAGAGGACTGATCGGGACCTGTCACAGTATCAACTATATATAGCCATCCTATATTACTTTTACCCGGCGGAATATCTAATCCTACGTCTGTAAGCAATTTATTAATAATGTTGAGGGCAGATTGGATTTTATGTTGTCCCTTGTTTACGGATGAACACTATGTGTAAATTGCAAAACCATCCGCGTAGGGGAGACCGAGGGGATTTGAAACAATTTTGACATTTTGTTTCATACACCAAACACTGTAGACAGAAATCATATGATACTAGTACCAATCGATAGGTTATTCTATACACTTGCGAATGATTAACATAAATAAATGTTAAGTGATAAATGTTGCGGTGAAAAATCGACTTAACCGTAACAAGTCAATTTGTTTCAACTCCCCTCATATCGAGGTAAGATGAAACAGGGGTCGAGGAGAGTTGAAACATATTATTTTGAAGAAGTGTTGAGGGATATAATAATAAAAGTGAAGCTATAATATAAAGGTATTTATTGTAATAAAACTTTTCAATTAAGAAACAATTTTTTTTATCAATATTTTATACTGATATAATTTTCAGTTAAGGAGGTAACTACAAGTCTACGAATAATCAACTCCTAAAGTAGTTAAAATACCTATCACAATGACCATCAATCAACATAATGACCAGATAAACAAAAATGTTGTACATACATTCTTATATAATATTACATATATATTAATATAAGTTATAAGCCTTTAACATAAAATGCGTATTAACTTTCAGTCGTTCCTTAACTATTACAATCAGTCTTGATTAATCAGTATTTCTTGGAATATTTAAATAACAATACAACGATCACACAAATGAGACAAATAAAAATATTATGAAACTAAATAATATCAATCTGACAAGCAGTTGTGGCAAACATAAGAAAGTTCCCCACCAGTGCAAGCTTCATGAGCCCAGTTTTTGCACTCCAGACATTGCACCCATTTTTCTTTGGCTTTGCTATTAGAATAAGGCTCAAAACAACAAAGGCAAATACATTCCTCTTCTTCTTCACTGTCTTCATTTCTTCTTTGTTTCTTGCCAACCTTGGTCTTCTTAGTTTTAGTATTTGGTTTTGAACTCCTTTTTTTGGTTTCTTCAAAGTTAGGTTTTTTTACTTTTTTCTTAGCCATTCTAACTGCTTCGATAGCAGCTAGTTCATCCTTTACGGGAGTGTCGGTTAAGTAGCAGATTTCACTTTGCGTCTATTTGATTGATTTCCTTTCCTGGGTGGAGCCTTTGGCAAGGGTCGAAGAGTGTCAGGTGAGAATGGAATTTCTGTCATAGTAACTGAAGTGTCTCGTGATGTTGATGCTACAGGTATTACATCAGATGTAAAGACTGTGGAGGGAACAACGGGTTCAGATATCGCCAGATCAGGTGAATTCTTACGAGGGTTTTCTGCAGGCTTAGGTACGTCTTCTGTATCGTAGCTGGATAGAGAAGGAGTAGCCGGTAAATTTAAGATTGATGGACTTGGTGTACGGGAATCGTGTAAAATACTGTCTGCAAGGGTAGAACATGGCACAGGTTCTTCGCTTCTTGAAATGCCGACCAAGTTAGAGCTGGATGGACCAGGACTAATGGAAGTTGCCAAAGGTCGATCAGTAACCTGACTGGGAAGATAATCAGCGTCCTGGAATATATTAGTGTTAACCCTTTGTAGCCCAAGATCATAAAAATTTAAATAACTTTGGTATAAGACATGGTTAAACAAATAAAAAAACACGTATTTCTCAAAAATTAAAAGATATTTATTATTATTTATTTATTTGACATTTTAGGGAGTGTAACATTACTGTAACATTGAGTTAAAGTAACAAAAAATGTACTTATGTGGTATGGAATGATCTGAAACAATTATTTTGTTTATTGTAACATAATGCTACTCCGCACTTTTCACAAATTGTTTGTGATACACCAGTACATTTAGGAAACTTGCACCGAACCCTTTTTTCTACCCAAATCGGCCAGTGACCAATTTTGATCCTGCCTTACTGCCAATGGGGAGACATGTTATGCTGGCCCCTTGTGTTTTTTGGCTTGAATTTCATTTTCAATTGTCCTTCAGTGCTTAATAGTAGGTTTCAAGCCCATCTTGCATAAACTTTCACCAATCTCGAGGCGAAAATCTGCTGAAGACATTTGTTTGTCACTGCAGTCTTTTGCCTGCCTTACTCTTCGATATAACAGCCAAGAATTGGCCATAGTCAGGTCTAATAAGTGGTAGAACATCCGAATCTGCCATCTTTTACTTCGTATTAAAATTTTATACCTTCCCATAATGCTGTCAATCAAATCTACGCCTCCCATATGCCGATTGTATTCACCAACGACATGAGGGCGATCAATATTGATATACTTCTTATTGGCCTTATCGTATCGTCTGACTTGGGCCTTTGGCAATTCACCAGCAAAAGATGATGCGAGCGTTACAATTTTATTGTCTTTCCATATAACGTTTGACACATCGATTCCGTCCATATTTGCTACATATTCAACTGAAAATCCGCGTTCTTTTTTCATTACTTCCTTGTCAGTGGGTAATTTACAATCTGGAATGCGATTGCGGCGTACGGT